AAAAAAAAAAATCTTCATCCATATTCAGATTTCCAATTTTCACACAAATAGAAATGGGGATATTATCTCCTAGGATTACGGGGAATACGTGAACTAATGCAACTAAATCACTCAGCATAGCACCTGGCATGTAAAAGAACTCTTCCAATGCTTTGACATAAATTCTTTGTCCCATGAGACACCAGTTCTTCTATTCCTCTGCCAATCCATGCAGGGTCCCATGAGTCCCACACTAGTCCAGGCTTTGCTTCCCCCTCCAACCACAAAGAAGCAACTCCTTTAGTGGAAAATACAATTTTCTACACTGGCATCAAAACACATAAATCAAACTGAGGTCTCTTGAGGGCAGTGTAATTCTCAGATTAATAAAAGAGAATAATATGCTATTATTGTACTAATTAGTCATTTTAGAACTCAACAGCCTTAAGACTATTTAAAATGTAACAAAGAAAGATTTATGTATTTTTAAGAAAGCCAAATTAGAGATCTTAAGGAAAATTTTACTGAAGCAAGTTTACCTTATCAGGGAATCAGAATCATGCACTCTTTCTCTAGGGTGATATGACAAGAGATAAAAAGTTATAGAATGCTATGTTCTCTAGAAATGCTTATGTTAATCCAGATATTCTACAGAATATAGATCTGTTGTACAGATTCCTTTCATAACCACAGTGAATCCTGATTTTCCTCAGTGAGAGATATGTGGCCACAAAAGGAAGGCAATTAGACCAGTCATTTCTAGATTTCTGTTAAACTGCAAATTTTGTTAGAATAATTAAAATGTGAAGAACTGGGGTTATAAAAAATCAAAACAAAAACAAGTATGTTTAGAACTCCTTAGAAAGAAATGTTGCTTCTTAAATCTAAATTATCTAGAATGAACTTCTGCCTATTATCTCTGGCTAAGTAATTGGCAGTTATTTTAAGAATAAGACCTTTCTGCTTCCATCCAGCCTGAATAATTAGAAGTCTAATAATAGACAGCAAATTAAAAAAATAAATTATCCCCTGTGCATACTGTACCCTGCATTGTATAACATTGTTTATACCCACTGCATAGTATCTTGAGTGAACCTAATGTGAAATATTGGATTTCAGAATGAGTAAGTCAAAGTATGCAGAATCTTTTATTTCGAGCTGTGTATTTTAAATCTGAAACACAAATGCTGTGTGAAACCACTTGCTCTTAACTT